CATAATCTCAGTTTCCAGTGTTAAATCCTAGGAACAAAAAGGGCATATGTAAAAGTTCTCTCTATATGTGTAGATGTGTTTGCAATTATTCATTACTGGCTGGAGCAAAAGTCTGGATTTGAATTCCAGTTCCAGTCCCCTAGCAGAATGAACAGCACGAGTTCATTGCGAGAGCTGAGTTTTATCCTTGCTGCTGCTGGGTTTGTTGCTTGTCTTGCGACAGTAGGAAAAAGCTTTAGCTGGGATCAATACGCCGTAATCCTCTCCACCAGTCACGCAGGGAAGGTGATTACATGCTTAGAAGGTAAATTTGTATCTACCTGTGCAGTTACTCTGATTTTAATAGTGAATTACAGAGGAAGGAAACATAAGGAGGAAAAAGAAGCGCAGCTTGTTTGTTTGTTTGGCCAACATGTTAACATGTTACATACAAAAACTCAAAAAAGAGCTCTGCATGATTTGGGACGGAGATAACTGTGAACACACGGTTCGCAGGAAGTTAAATGCCTCCCACAAACAGCCCGCTGTGCTCAGAGGGTATTTGATGTCCTGTTTGCATAGTCTCTGTCGAAGCAATCCAAACTATTCTGTTTGGTTTAGGGCCCAGGAAATTGGCACTGATTTCCCCTGAAAAGTGAGAGTTTTGGTTGAAGAAAAGCTTGGTGACACTGCACATCTCTCAGTCTAGCTTAGACTCCCGTTTTCCACTTCAAAAGGCAGATACAATACTTAACCCTTTTGTCGAATATTTGCCTTTCTACTATATTTGTGTCTCTAGAGAGTTGTGTGCTATCCTTGCACCCTGTGTATCACAAAGAACAAGCTGCTTCACCAATCTTTTGGTATCCTCTGGTACAGAGGACACGCTGGGGAACCCAGGGAAGGGATGCTGCCCTGTGAAATCAGTGTGCCTTTCTATGTTGTCCCAAAGGGATAATAACAGTGGGGCAGGGGAGAGAAGGAAAAAGGGTTCTAGAAGAAAATAGAATACCAGAAAGTGAGGTTATGTGCCTCCATCTGGAATTCCAGCCACAGATGCAATCTCAGAAAATAGTTCCCAAATTAGTAATGGAAACATTAACTTGTCTCGTTAGTATTAGACGTGTAGTTCATAAAACATGGCTGAAGTATTTGGTGTAATGATACACAAAGGAAGAAAGTGTGCCACCTGAAAAAGAAGGAGTGAACTGTATAGAGGAAATTGCAGTGCAGGAATGCTGAATTTAGAAGGAAAAGAATGGGGTAACTGCAAAGGCAGTAGGAGTGAGAATTTTTTTCCAGAGTTGCGTTGTGAAGAAGAACACAGACTGTTACTGGGAAGGAACAGCAAAGCTGTGTGAGGAGAACCATGGCTCTGGAGAGAGTGTACTTGTGTTCACCTCCATGCAACTCGCTTGGAGCCAAGAAACAGACGAAGTAATGGATACTCCTGTAAGGTTTTTTGGAGCTGCTTTAGGCTTTGCTGCCCCAGGAAGCAAAAGAACATCACTGAATACATTTAACCTTTTGGTTACAGTAATTTTTTGGTTACATGTAGCAGCAGTAGAGTAAGGGAGTTCCAAAAACATTTCTGTCTGTAAATGTACGGGGATACATTTTTTTAAAGAGAAACAGTCTCTTACACTAGACAGTCTGGTATAGTTAGAGAAAATCAGATAACAGTCTGAGCACACAGGTTAGGTCTTGTTTGGTTATAATCTTAAACTCTCCTGACTGGCATCACACTACTTTTACAAAGTGCAATTATGTCTAGAATGCCTGATCTCTTTTCCCTCCTTCATGTGGTTATTGCAAGTGATCACACTCTAGATATTTTTCTAGAAATGTACTTCTGTACTGTGGAGAAACGTGAGAAAGGCTGGAAATTTTACATGGAATTTCAAGTCTTGGTCCGTGCTATGAAGTTGTACCTTGCAGGGTCAGCTGAAAATGCTGACATAAGTAGAAATGCTGTTGCTGCACCCTGCTTTTATCCAGTTCCTGCCTTCCCCCTTTTTTTCACTGTTGGTGGTTTTCCAAGGAGGACAACATCTGGAATCTGTCCATGCAAGTACCTTTACATACAGTTACGTGTGAGCACTTCCACTGAGAGCAAGAGGATTGGCTTTTGTAGGAATCTGAATAGCAATGAAGCTGCAGAACAGGCCTCCTGCTCTCCATAGTCTCTGTAGACCAAAACTTCAATTCTTTTTCTTGTGAAGGGAAAAAAAAAAAAAAGGCCTTTTGCCTTTTTTCAGTGAGAAGCTGCATCTGCTGTTTTGTTCCACCACCAATTCCTTGGCTGGAGGCTCCCATGCTTTATGTGGGCCCCCACCATCGCATCTTTGAAGATGGTAATACCTTATCCCACCGTCTACAAGCAGTAGATATCCCCTGCTATCCTACAGACGAGGTCAGCTTTTCTCTGTATTTTCAAAGGAAGTACATCTCTTGGCTCAAAGTCATAGTGATTGATTCTTTTCAGCTGACCACCTCCTTGAGGCTTTTCCAGGACCCAGCTCAGGAGAGAGCTGCTAGAAGTCTGACTGTGTGATTTCAAGAGCCAGACTGGCTCCTGAGACCTTCCATAATCACTTGAAGCATTGTTGGTTTAATTCTGCCATAACTACTCATTGTTATTATGAAAAAGGAAGAATGGGTAAATTTCTGGGTTTAATGGAATAAGCTGGGCAAATGAAAGAAGGCAAAGGCACGTATATAATTTAAAGTGACTGCTGAAGTATGTAAATATTAATTCTAGTCATGTTTGCTGGGTGTGTTTGTCGCACAGGAACACCATAGCTGGGGTTGGGGACAGCACTGAAGGCAGCAACCAGGAATGGGGGAGATGCCCTTCCATCCTGCTGATATCTGAAGTGGTTTCTATGGCTGTAGTCAAAATAGAAGACAGTGTCCTGGTGAGGTTGGCACGCCAGACAGTTTCTATGGTGTTGGCTAAAAAAAGCAGGACACCTAGTTTTATTTGGGTGTCTGCGCTGTTTCTGAGCAGCGGTAACGAGGGCTGGGACTGGTGTGGCAGAGGGGCGGGTAATGGAGTTTTTGTGGTTCCGTCCCTCAGGAGCTGAGGGTGCACAACACGGGGTGTGTACTCAGATCTGAGTAGAGGGGTTTGTGGCCCCGTTCTCTGTGGTAAGCCTGTGGGTGAGCTGCCCCTGGGCCAGGCCATGTTAAGGGCTGATGAGAAAAGAGGTGTTGTTGGTGGAATGGCAGCAAGTGGGGACGCGGGGTGCCAGCAGCCACCTCAGGGGGGCTGAACCCCGCCGTTTAATCAGTGCAAGCAGGCGAGGGTATGGAGAGTTGTATGGTAGCTGTATGGTAAAGGGTCTGGCAGAGAAGGCGGCGCTCGGACCGAGCGGGGTCAGGGCTAAGGCCGGCGCGGGGAGGGGGCTCGGCCCGGCCAGGTGGGACAAGGACGGGGCCGCTCCCGCCTCCCCCTCAGGGGCGGTGGCTGCGGCCGCGCGCGAGGAGGCGGCGGGAGCCAATGGGGAGCGGCCGGGGCGGGAAGCGCGAGCCAATAGGAGGCCGCGGCCGCGGCGCGCGCGCGCAGCCCAGGGCGGGGTGAAGCGGAGCGGCGCGCGGGGAGGGGCGGGGCGCGCGCTTGGGGCCGCCCCTTCCCCGCCGCAGTGAGGAGCGAGCGGGCGGCCATGTTGTGCGGGGGGAGGGGAGGAAGGAGTTGAGAGGAGACGGCGGAGGCTCCCTCACACACACGGCACAAGATGGCCGGGGAGCAGCCGCGGCTCCCGCACGGCTCCCGGGCGCGCTTCCCGCCGCTCGCTCCGGGGACGCCCGGCCGGCGCCCCGGGTGCCGCGCTCGAGGGCCAAGTCGGGCCCAGCACTCTGGGGGCTCCGGGGCTGCGAAGGGCGGCGAGCGGGGCTGCCGAGAGGGGCTGCGACGGGCGGGCAGCAATGGCGCCGAGGCAGCGGAGCGCTGCCCGCGCCGCTCCCTCGCCGGGCGGGCGCGGAGCCGCCCTTGGCCGCGGGCAGGGCGAGCAGGGGAGCAGCGCCCCGTCCTCGGGGCCCCCGGTGCCGGCCAGCGGGCTGCTCTTCGCCGGGTAAGTGCCGGAGTCTCCGCACTCCTCATTGTCCTTTGTCCTTGGGAGGAAAAACAAAATGTCCTTGGAGCCGGGAGGGGGAGGGGGCGCTGCCTCTCCCTGCTCCCCCCCAACTCCCCCCGCCGCTCGCTGAGGGGACCCGCGGGGACTCTCGGGGACCCCCACTCGTGTCCTGCCCGCGCGGGGCTGAGGGGGAGCGACGGGGCCAGGGGAGCCCCGGTGCCCCTCGGCGGCTGCGGCGCTCCCCTCCCTGCCCTGCAGCACCCGCGGGGCTCCGCACGCCCCGGCCCCGATGCAACGCCGGGGGGGCAGCGGCGGGTTTCGGGTCCCCGGTGCGGTACCGGGCACAGGGGGGGCTGCAGAGCGGCTCCCCCAGCGCGGCGGACGAGGGGGGCATCTGCAAAACAGCCTGGAACTCCAATGCAGCAGAGGAGGGAGGGGGGAGAGGTGAAGGCTGTACGACATCATCACTTAAATGTTTAGCCCTGTGTCGGTGGAAAGAGCGTTTGTCGCCCGTCGCTGATCGGATGGGGATATGTTTTCTTAGTTTGTGAGAACAAAGGCGCCATGTCCTTTTCTCTTAAAAATAAAACTTGGGGTGTTTTTTTTTTTTTTTTTTTTTTTTGGTGGGGTGTTGGCTTTTAACTCTTTGTAAACCAGTGGGGAAAAAAAACAGGCTGCGGATGAGACAGATTAGTAGTTTACTGAAACAATAGAGAAAAATTGACTTCACTGGAAAAACAGCAGTTCAGGTGCAGAACTTTAAAGAAAACTCTTAAGAATTACGTGCAATTTGATTTTGCAATTAAAACGGCAATGCAGAAACTTAGAAGCTTGACAAAAACAAAGCTCGGTCATGCCAAGTCTACAGTTTAAAGTTGGCAAAATGCTACGGTTGTGATTTAGACGACGCTACGAGAAGAAAAGGTAGTTACTTAAATATGAATTACACGATAAGGAACTGGATGAGTTTGTGTGTTACATGGAAAGCTTTTAAAAAACGTTTCTCGGGTGTCATGTTTGTTTTCAGTGTTCAGTTTATGCGTTTTTCAGAGACCTCACAGTCTTTTCTCTTTACGAAACATTTTTTTATCATCTTTTCAGTGCTCAATAATTGTAGAAGTTCTGCAACACCTATTGCAAGACTTTCTAAAAATGCAAGTTTAAATGGAATACCTCACGTTTGTTATGCGTTGGCTCGCATTCAGCAATTAGCAATTTAAAGGCAAAATTGTAATTCTGAATGTGTAAAAAGTCGCTGTGGTAGAGCAAGAGGTAAATATTAAGAACTTTAGTTTTAATTGGAGGTTCTGCATAGCCACATTTGTTGGATTTCTATGCTGTACACTCGAGCAAGGTTATAAAACTCGGTGCAGGTTTTAAACGTTGCAGTTGGAGGTAAATCTACATTTTTCGGTACTTCCTCTGCAAATGTGAATCCGTCGTTGCAACAATACAAGTTTGCCCTTTTTTGGAAATAGAAATACAGGTTTTAGCAACGGCTGGACTTCTTCACCTTTATGCAAAGTCTTCAGTGCCTTTATTTTAGATTTGGATTATGGTGGTTTTATAACCCCAGCAACAGTTCTGCAGTATAGAACAGGTTCTGGCATACACACTTTGCCCTAAAGAAAGTTCTAGCTTTAGGTGGGTGTCTGCTGGATTTCTCTATTCTTAAATATGTTAGGGGATTTTTTGTTTAAATAGTTTTGACTGAATTCCCTTAACAACTGAAAATAAAATAGCAAGTAATTGTCTTAGAAAATAAATTCCTCTTAATTTGTAATGTGTTTTGTTGAAGAGTTCTGCTTTTTTATATTCAAGGTGTAGGGGTTTGAATTTATATTTGGATACCTTTTAATTTAGCAATGAATGTTTTTTAAAATTGTGTATTTACTGAAAGATTCCAGACTTCTTAAGTATGAAGTAGTGGTGATGATAAATATAACTGCTGTAAAATAAAATAACATTTTTGCCTTCACAGAAGACAAGAAAAGTTAGCTAGACGTAGCGCAAATACAGTGTTCCTTGTGTTAGAGACCGTGGTTTGGGGTCTGATTAAAGGTTAAAGAAACTGAAGGCTTTAAAATTGTATTCTGAAGGGCAAAAAAGATGGGTTTTTGGGGGAGATCAAGTAAGTTAGGACTTAAAATTTAGAGAAGCTGATGACAGGAGCCATTTTGAAATAACTTTGCTATCACTAAAGGTTTTATTTAATTTTGCATAGCCTACTTCTAAAGACTTTATTGTGAAAAGTAGAAGGGGTGAGGGTTATTGAGTGATAAGTTACTCAATAAAAAGAATCTTACATTTGCATTTGATCTCTAAGTCTTTCAAAATTAATGTAATGGAAGACAGAAGAGCAGATCGCAGTTTTTTGTGAAAAACACAGATCATGTGTGTTGTATGTCAGTCACTCTCATCTCCAGTGTGTTTTTCTTCAGCCAGGAATGTACTTTTATTTTTAGAGTTGAGTTCTAAAGATACAGTTACTGCTATCATAAGTTTTTCTTGACTTAATAATTACCTAAAGATCAATACACTTCAGGCGTGTGACTTGTTCTGCTTTTCTAAAGCAAAATGCTGAAAATTTCATTTTTGGTTGTTTTTTTTTTTTTTTCCAGGTAGAATGCCATGAACAATACCTAATTTTCTGGCTTCAGAGGAATCCTTCATGACTTATTTTCTCAGGTAAGAGTGGCTATAACTTCTGATAGTACGTTCATTTCCGTGTTATTTTTTTTATCTTGGAATTTGCCTTTTGGCTACTGGGCAGATTGGAAGAAAAAAATCTGATTTTTTACATGGAGAGGATACATTTTGTAAAGTATCTGGACTATTAGAAAGCTTTTGGTTTTTTTTTTGCACATAGAGGTAGACTGTCTTCAAATAATGTCATGTGTATGGGCTACTTCTGTATGAATTTTAGTTTACCAAGGGTATTTACTAAGTGGATTGCTATTTGTGTATATACATACATATGCATTGTATTTGTGGAAAAGGACAATATTTTCATATAAATCTATTTCATTAAATGTCCCATTTCACCACTGAGAACCTGCATTAAACTTTGAAAACGGCTTGGATTTTGTACTTAATGAGTTTGTAGCATTAACAAGGTTGGGGATATTGTTAGAACTGCATATTTGACAGCAGTAACACGAGACTTCAGGTATTTGTAGAGGAGATTTTTGGGGCCTGTTTCTTGTTTTTGGGAATATAAAGATTAACACTTGGCAAGGATAGAATATTGTTATTGTACTGTAGGTAACACTTTTATTAATTGAAAGACACCTTACGTGTTTTCAGAAAGTTTCAGTCAAAAACATTAAGCCTGTAGGTAAGATATGTGTGTACCTTGTTTTCAGACAAACCTGGTTTTGTTTGTTTGTTTGTTTTTCTTTAAAGGTTCTCACTGGATATTGTTCTTCCAAAGATTCAGATGTCTGCTTGGGTAAAAGACCTTGAGCAAAATTCTGTACTGTTCCTGCCAGGTATGTTATGTTGTGGCTTTTTGTTTGTGTCTTTTTTTTTTTTTTTTAAATTATGCTGGAAATAATTTTTTTTCAAAATAAACATTAAACATTTAAGCTGCAGTGTTTTACCTTGTTGAATTCATTTTCCTTCAAGCTCAGTGCATTTGAAAACTGTTAGTAAGTACTAACTACAGCAATGTTCATGTCTCCTGCACCTTCGAAGATTTTTATGGTCACTCACATACAACTTAAAACAAACTGCAGTGACCATTTTGACACATAGTAAAGCCCGGCTGTGCTCTGAGGGTTGGCATCTCCTAAGGACATTGTCTAACTATGCTTGAGAAGTGCTTTTCCTTAGTTCAAGGTATTTGTTCATTAGCAAGGGACACTCATAAGCTTTTCCTTTCCAATACATAGTTTATACAATAAACTTAGAAATTCTTTTTGGTGTAAATTTGACTCTAAAAGCCGAAAGCATTATGAGGTATCTTGCTCTCCTTGCAGTAAAAACAGATCAACTTTCTAATGTTTATTATTTGTTTTTACACTTTAAAATTCTGCATTCAGAATCAGAGTAACTCATTTCCTTTTAGTCAGGCTTTCACCACTGTGTAATTAAAAGTTGGAGAGCTTGTTTGCCTCTCGTAACTGGTTCCTTTTTGCAGCTTCCCGTGCTCAGGTACCTCAGTGCGTACTCAGGATCTCAAAGCATAAGGCGTCTTCACGAAGACACCTGTATCAGGAATACCAAAAATACTCTTGATAATTTGCTTTTTAAAATTACATAATTGATTGTGATAATTAAAGAATACAGTTGTGAACCCCTACCTGAGTGCAGCTGTTTTCTTTGGCTTGGATGAAGCCTTCAGCCTGTTCATCTAAAATTCATGTGCCAATTTTGCAAAGTTTTATAAAAATGTCTCTCCAGGTTGTAATAAACCTTTATCTGCAGTGAGTCACTACTGATGTGCAGGGCAGAATGCAAATAATATTTATTGATAATGGACATGTCCATCATCACGGATGTCCTGCAGCAGACACGGCTAATGTGCAAATGTATGTGTCAGTATGTTCTAGAACTTCGTTGTTTAACTGTCTGATGGGATCTGTGAGAACTAAGAGTTTGTGTTTAGGAATGATCTCATACCTTAAGATTGACAGAGCATATCTGAAATCCCATGTGAATTTTCAGTTTAGAGGGTCAAAATCACAGACACTGCACAGTCTATTACGATAAAGGCAAGACCAGTCTGATGACAATGAGAATGAGCCTGTCAGACCCAAGATTTGTGTTCCTAATGTTAAATCCTGAAATGTCTAAAGCTGCAACTTTTAATTGACCTGCTCTTCAAAATTAGCAAAATTAAATACTAAAATTAATACCCACATGTTCCATGATAAATACAAAATTGAGCACTTCAGTCTTAACGGTTGCACTTTTGCAGTATTGTTCTGATGCTGTTTGTGCTGAACAGGTATTATAATAAAGGCAGTTTTACCTGTTCGTTGTTACTTTTCTGAGCTCTTTGGATCTGCCTTTTCCTGTATGAACAATATATGTTTATCTAGCACATGGCAGCTTGATCTCTACATTAAGTAGATCTCAGTAGGTTTGATGCACACTACTGGGACTTGAGGAAAGTTTTAAGTTTATGGCTGCAGCTGCTCATGAGGGTTGAGGGGGTCAGGAGAACCTCTCTGGTTGAGTCTCAATAACTTTTTCAGCAGAGGAAACTGTTCCTCTGGGGATATGAAGCCACATCATTCTTAAAGAATTGCTTTTTGTAGCTTTGACATCTTACATGGAAGAGTGTTGGTGTGGTGATATACATCATCTTTGTCAAAATACTAATTAATCCCAAGAGAGAATCTAATATCAAGTAATAGCTTTTGGGTGTCTGACCTCACCTCTTGCTGTAAAAGGAGATACACTGTCATGGTGGTTGGAGCCAGCAGTGCCCGTCTTGGGGTGAAGGAGCCATGGACCTTTGATTCAGGGTGTGTTCTGTGTGCCAGAGGCTGTTCTGTACTTACAGCATCTGTAATTTTAAAATAAATATAAGCCACAGCTATTAGACTACCTAAAAAAAATAATTTCATGTTTATTCTTAGAGAGAAATGGGTTTTTTTAATTACGTGGGCTACAACAATTACTGTAAATAGTGTGATTAAAAGACTTTGGTGCTTATTAAATATAGAAAATACAGGTGTTAACCTGAAAGGTAAATTCTTTTTCAGACAAGACCTGTATTTCCAAGTTCTATGGTTTGTGCCTCTGGGCCTAAATTCCATCTTTTGTGATGAATTCTGTAGTTTGGTAGTGATTGTTTTTGGGATATTAAAATTGGAAAACTCAAAAATACACTGGTATATTCTGTAATAGTGGAAAAATAATTTGTGTGAGTGAAATGTTATGTGTTATCAACATCTTGCTGATGTGTTTACAAAACTTGTTTGGTTCACCTGTTCACTTGCAAATAGAGAAGTGTCACTACTGCTGAGTGGTGCCATTCTGGCAAACATTAGATTGCTTTTGCAAAGTGGTGCTGAGGTCAGAATACAACTTGGTTGGGTCTTTGTCATTAGAAGAAGCTGCTCTGTGGTGACAGAAAGCCATATTAAATATCGTCATTAAAGCTTCTGTGAAACTGCCGTAGCTGTGTGCTCACAGGAACCAGTTTGAATGCAGATGACGAATACGTAGCTCTGAGTTATTGAAGATGGTTGAGAGCTGTAAATTGGAAATCTTGCAATCTTTAACTTTACCTGTCTTCATATATCAGATTGTAGTTTTTAAGTGGCTTTTTTTTAAAGAGAAATGATATGTATTGGACAGCAGGAGGTTTAAATAGCCTAAGTGAATGTATTTACCTGGTTCACTGATCATCCAAGAGGCCTCCATCAGTCATTCAAAACATGGAAATAGTTCAGCAGCCATGTTGTGTTTCATCTAAAATGGTGGCTGGGCACTTTGCAGAAGTTTTGTGCTTCCATTTAATAGCAGCTGGAGCACATTTAAATACATGTTTTAAACCTCTAAATGTAACGTTCTTTTGTATATTCTACATGTTTATGCCAGTTTACTAATAAAATTTTTTGTCATTTCCCCTTCTTAAGGGATCTTTTTCCATAATAATAATTTCAAATTACATCAATAAAGAAATGACAATTCTGTTTATCACAGCTTTTTTTTTCCTGTGCATCTGAGTAGATACCAATGGAAGAGAAGAATTTAAAGGATTGCACAGTTTGCTGTCACTGGATAGGACCATTAATTTTTATGTATTTATTTGAGGCTAGGTTTTAATATAAGTAGATTCTGAGAGATCACAAGAGAAGCAGTTTGCCCGTACATGTCAGGAGGATAAATTTTATGGGTAATTTCACACAGTCCAAATTTAGAGTAAAAAGGAAGTTCATGAGTTGCTTCAGAGTTTTACGTCTTAATTTAATCTTACAACTGTCATTTAAGGTGTCTGTGATTAAAGTTTTGTTGATGTAGATTGCCAGTAAGCATTTTCAAAGTCAGGTTTTCACTTTCGGACCTTGCCCATACAGGGATAATTTTGAGATACAGAGTAGATAATTTGTTCCAACTAAGTGCGTTACATTATTTGCCCTTCATCCAACCGATACCACCTCTCAGTAAAAAGGGTATTTTATTTTACCTTGTGAAGGGCGGGTCAGTTGGCTAAAGTTCATTTCCACTTGATGCCTGCCTGATCCTTTTCAAAAAATTAAAAAGAAAGGGGGTTTTTTGTGGTAATTTCTCAAGGCATTTGTGTGCAGGATGGGACCTGAATTTCTTGGGTGGTTTGCACAGGGTTTTTGATAACACATTCCCTAGTGATACTTCAAAGTTTTTATAAAAATGTCTTTTGTAGCATATGCTGTGATCTGTAACACTTGGTTGGTTTTTTTTTTTTTTTTGTTCAGGGATAGGACTTTTGTAATACTCATAGGCTAATGTTTGGTCCTTAGGATTTCTTTATTATTTTTAATTTTAATTTAAGTGTTCTAATATCCCATTTTCCCTACAGATGTATGGAGGAATTGATTTGCTCACTGTAAGCAAAATAGCTGCTCTTGGTTGAAGGACTGGTAAGTTGTTATTCTTAATAACATTTACTTTTTAGCTTTTTAAAAAACCCAGTCAACCAGACAAGGCTGTAATGTTTAACTGACTGAAGCTTTCGATTGAATACATTCTGAAGGTCATTTGTGCGTCGCTGTGTGCGCACGTGTGTTTCAGAAAAACCCCAGGATCATTCCTGCTGGGCTCTAGGAAATGGGTAATACTTGGATAGTCCTCTCACCCAGTCTCACTGCAGAACAGCCTTCACATCTGACTATAGTTCTTTGGTCTACTGTGATTTGACTCCCATGTTTTGTTGAGAGCTTTTCTGTCGTAGGTTTGCTGGTTCAGAAGGGTTGATGCACAGATGAGTCTCTAGAGAGGTACTACACGATTTGGGTAACAAATGGTGTGGAAAATATAGCAGGAAGAACTTCTCACATGCATCTTGTTTTGTCCTTACGCTTCTGTCAGGATCAGTGAGAGTCTTTGAGCAGACATTAAATGTCTCCTGTTCTACAATTGTTCTGTTGCTGTTTTTCATTCACAAAGGTCTGGCTTTGCACAATAATGTAGTGCCAGTACAGTTTTCTGTTTGTTTCGTTTTTTGTTTTTTTTTTTATTAAACTGCTAACTGATAGACTTCAAATCGTTCCTTATGTAGGCAAAACACAAAATTGGCAGGCTTGAATAGAAAAATTAATTCAGTTCTATACTGGATGAATATAGGAACAGAATCTTTTCCAGTTTCCTTAACTAAAAGGAATTTGGTCTTGACCTTTTGTTGTCCTTGGCACATTTTGTGATTTTCTTGGGAGTTGCCTGTGGAAAGACACAGGTCCTTTTGTCTTTTTGTCTGCTTAAAATTCAAAAATGCCTTGATTCTGCATTTTTAATTAGGGCATCCATTGCTTTTTGTGTACATGGATTAACTGTTTTTGTGGGAAGCTCTATTCCTGTAGCACTGTGCCTTGGAATATATGCATTTCTTTAAAAGAAGCAGTTTCTTAGAGCCAGTTCTTTCAGTCTGACATGATACCTTGATTGAGCAAGGCTTTCCTTAGGCTGCACGCAGCTTGGGAAAATGTTCTGAGATACAAATCCTCTTATTTCAGTGGATAGATGACAGTGATTTTTAGCTGTCCTATGGCTATGTGTGTTAGCAGAGCCCTCCAGCAGCCACTGCCATCTATGTGGCCTCAGGTGCTGAACAGCAGCTGCTCCCTGTTTGTACTTCCAAGTCCTGTGCTTTCTCCTCATCCACTCCCATGATGTGGAGACTGATATAGAGCTCTAGTGGAAGGGAAAAGGAGTACACGTGGTAAGGTGCAAACCTTGCTAGGCCATGTTAGTGTGGCCTTGTGCTGCTTCTGCGTCCTTTGCGTTTTGGACCAGTTTTACCGAGTTCAGTCTTGAAGCAAAATAGTGGAATTCATGAACTTGAAAGAATTCAGGTTTTAATGCATGTACATGAGTTTAGCTTTGATGCTTTTTAACAAGTATTTAATCTCTTCTACTACTGGACTCTTTAAGTTTTATCACTTTGTTCCTTCAGAAGTCTTAAATTATTTTTCCCACTGCAGGTATGTGTAAAACAGAACATTTCTTGCCATGTTTCTCCTTCCTCAAAACTTTTCCTATGCTATCCACTGATGCTTTTCTAGCCCCCAGTCATCTACTAGAATCTCTAAAATAATGTGACTCATGTTCCATTTTTATATTAATCATCATATGACTCCTAAATCTTTCTATATGCATTTCTGTTTGTTTTCTCATTGGGTTGTAAATTAGCTGTTGTCAGATTTGGTTTCTTGAGTAAGACTTTGGCCTTTCAGTTACACACCAAGTCATTCTTCCATTGTTTTCTGGTTTATAATCCTTACCTAAAGGAAGGGGGTGAATGAAACCCTTAATTACTTCATGAAACACTTTTCTACAAAAGAAGTTGCTTCAAAAACCAGAAAAGCATCGAAATGTATGGATCTTGAAAGATCTAGTATTGCCCTCTCTGGTTAGCACAGATAATGTTTAGTTGAAGCACTGATTTTTTTTTTTTCCAATTTTTTTAAGAGAAGAGGGAAGATACTTGAAAACACCGGGAGCTTTATTGAAGTTGACATACTTTGCTTAATGCAATAAAGTTTATTATTTAAAAATAACACGCAGAAAAGAGTGCATCTGTGAATAAAGTCACATCGGGAATTACTCTCTAAATCTGAGAAACCTGGCAAACAACCTTAGCTAAAAATACCCAAACCTACATGACTTGTGCTTTTCTGTTGTGCTTAGAGAACATCTAATGGAGGTAAAAGCAGAATTAGGGCTGTCCAGAGCACTTATGTTCTGTGCAGTCTCTTAACAGTAACTCATTATGGACTTTGCTGTCAATAAAGGACACATCTGCTCTTTCCTCCTGTGTAAAAGTTACTGGGGATGTGTCTTTGAGAACAAAACCTTGCTTTAATGAACTTTGAAACAGAGACCTTCACAACCTCATTCTGTCCATTTGGCTCTCTCTGTTGGAGTTAATTCTGTTTCCAGGGGAGGTTACCTCAGTTTTTAAGCTGAAGCCTCAGATTTCACTCTGGAAAACTTGGTCAATGTATTGGTGTCCTGTGCATGGGTGTTGTGTGTGTTTGGTTTCAGTCTCACACCTGAGGAACGTAAGGTTTCAATAGACCTCAAATGGCTGATACCATGAGTTTGGCCATATGGCATGTCTTTCATCGCTGGGGTCTTTTAATAGAGCAACAGACAATTGCAACAAAAAACTGAAGAGAAAATCTTTGTAAATTTTGTTTCAAAATTGTTGCCTTGAACCTTTAGTCAAGGTTGGGAATGGTTTCTCTCCCTTGGCAGTGAGTGTCAGTACTGTTTGTTATTACAACATGACTGCCCAGGTCCCTGATTTATCATGACCAAAATTCTGTGCTTGGAAACCAAACCAGGAACTGGTAGATAACAGAATCTTGAAAAATGGGCTGATGCCTAATTGATGTTACAGAAGTAGTGAAAGACTCATGTCATCTAAGACAAAAGTTGGGCTTTTCAGTGTCTACCTCACTTTAGGAACACTGCATATGTCTTAGGGGGGGAAGATGTTTTTGTAACATTATGGAAACTTCTTAGTAAATTGTGCCTTAAATCATAAGTAAACAACCACTGTGAAATCTTTTAAACCAAATGTAGATTTCAAAAGTGTAGAGGTTGCTATTAATATTTTGGCCATTCCTGTGGCATCTTTTTGATGTATGAATAACTTTGAGAACAAGAACGTGTTCTTAATTATAATACATCAGCAGGTTTGTTTACTGCCAATTATTTTACAAGATTGAGAGAAGAGTTTAGGATGAAATTTGTGGGGTTACTTGCAAAGTTTTTGGTACAACCAGTGTAGTTGAACCTTGTAGGGAAATTTGCCCTTAAATTGGTTTTGGCAGATCTCATGAGTGTCTTAAGGCAGAGGCCAACCCAACTGGAAAGTGCCTTTCAAGGGTGACTAATATGTAACTAAATTGCCTTTTTGAGAGGTGGGGAAAACTAATGTCAGTAATTAAATTTCCTAATGTTAAGCTTATTAAAAATATAATCATATATGAATATTAAAATTATTTTAATGGTCTTATTTATGGGGTTTTCCCTGTGCTTATGTTAGTACTTCTGAGTGTTTGATTGCGACAGTAATTGACAGCTTTGTGGTACGTTTTTTTTCATGTTTTGATACCTCGATCAAGGCATTAACATTAAAAATCACGCAAAATTTTAATTCATCTTCAAACAGCAAAATAGATTTGCAATTAGGTTAATGACAACGGGGGGAAGGGTGGGGGGGGAACAAGCTCAAAACCAAAGAAACCCCCAAAACTGTTCATTCAGTTTATTGTGGGAGAAAAAAATACCTTCCAAAATATTTAATGCCTATCTTAATTCAGGATGAGTTGAATGCTTGAAACAAAGCATTTCTGTAAATTTGAATGTTCAGTTTGAGAACATGAAGATCCTGGGGTTGAATACTCTTAGAGCTATGCATGTTCAAAGTGCAGAGGGAATTACCAGATCCCATATTCCACTTCTGTGTGCTGTCATATTCAATTACATTTTAAACAAGGAAGTCTGTAAAGCAAAAGAAAACAGGACACATGGAAGGTGTGAAAGTCATACTGGGGCTTGTTGCACTGGTTCCAGTGCTCTTTGCTTCGCTGTAACTGGTCATTTTGAGACTGGGGAAACTGGGATGCCAAGGCAGAGACCACTAGATGGCCCCACTGGTTTTTGCTGGGCAGTGGGTAATTTCTGCATCACTTGTCAGAATCAGCCCACGGTTATCAGAAAACAGGGTAGTGGTGAATTTGGCTTTCGGACTAAAATGAGGTTAAAACTTACACGTATTCAAAATAGTAAATTGATGTTGGAGTGCAGATACTCGAAAACGTGAAGACATTTTGAAACCTTTTTTGCATGTCAGTTCTACAGTCAGCACTGGTTTCAAAATGATGTTTTTAATACTTAGTAACTTCTTGTTCTTTAGTTTTGCATGTGAGGAGGAGGAGTAGGGTTTTTCTGAAAGTAAATTGAACTTGTATTTCTTGGAAGATGGAAAGATGGGGATGTTGGGTTTGTATTTGGCCATGTGGATGTAATTTCCTCAGTTTGGCTTCTTATTCATCTGTGGGCTTGTTTGCTGTTCTATGACGAGTAAAGTTGGAATATGGATGAGGAGCCTTGCTAAAGGCAGCTGGTGTAACTTGTTACTGTTTTCACCTGATTTCTAATATGTCCTTTCCTACCAGTAACTAAACCAGTCATTCCATTTGTTTGTAAATGCATTTCCTGTTGCACTGTATGTCTTTCATGAGCTGGAAAACTGGGTTAAGATGGTGGAATGTCTTCTTTCCAGTCACCATCTGTCTATAAGAAACCAGTTTTTGTGCCTGTTAAATTGTTTTTGATGGATCTGTGTCTTTGAAGAAAGGAGTGTGGACAGTAGTTACAAATTTTGGCTTATAATAGCATTGGTATTTTACTAAGCAATGTCAGGTTCAGGAGATGGGTCAGTGCAATGAAGATGGTTGCAAGAGCAAATATCTTTGCTTTCCCACCATTGGTGTCTCTAGTGGTTTAACACTGAAGAAATTTCAAATGGAATTGATGGAGCATGCAAAGGTTCTTGAACTTCTAATTGTTTGTCTCTTTTTTATAGTTCTGGTTAAATTTTATATTTTTGACTCTAACTGATGGTTTGACATTGTTCCTGATTAAAAGCAGATACTACAGAATATGTAATATGGAATAAAGCATCAGTTACATGTTTGAATTATCTTGAAGATACAGTAGTTGAATGTTTTAGTTTAAAGCTATGATGTGTATTCCAACAGCATTTTTCTTTTAATTTTCCATAAAGAATCCAATCAGATGAAGAGTGTCAAAAGGAGTCTACGAATGAGACACCAAGATGGCAGTTCCAGTGGTGATTGAGAGGTTGAGGAAATGGACTAATGCATGAGTGCTGTGATGTGTCTGTCCAAGAAAAGGATGTTAAAACGTGGATTCTCATGTTATTAAACCAGAGAAGATCTGGGTTGTGATCATCCTATCAAAATGGACTTTGCATTTGAATTAATCAGTGACTATCCAATGATGGATCCCTTTGAGGACTGGGTGGCAGAATTTTCCTTTCAGATTGGCAAATTAATTTGGTTGAAGATCTGTTGCTACTCCTTTGGAGAAAATGTAATTTTTAAACTGACTTTTAATAAAAGGTTTTGGTTTCTGTCACACTTTGTGTTTGTCCTTTCTGGCTGAATATTTTTATTGTGTTGATATTGAAGTGGGTTACATTTTTGGTTGCTATTAAAGTGAGAAATACTTAAACTACTAAGTACTGAAGGCAAGGCAAAATTTTGTGCTATACTTGATTTCAAATGTGGTTTTCATTTGCAAATTATGCTCACTTTGCCATGACTTCCAATGAATTTTTATTCGCTGGCTTGTTCATTCAGGTGCTTAATATGAGGGGTTTTCAGTACTTGGCCTATTGTCAGGGCCCTTCTGCTGAACTTTGTGAAGTTATTTTCAGATGGAATTGATACAAATTGAAGGCTGGATAAATATGACAATAAAGGAGTACTTTAATGTTTTGTTCAACTTTTTAGGTATGTTCTTTGGTTGTGTATGTTTCGGTTGTGGGTACAGAAACTTTTCAACATATTTCCTTGACAACATACTTCCTAAACAGTCTCTTTGGTCTTAAAATTGTTCTGTGCAGGTGTCCAGCCTGCTTCCCTGCTCTTGCATGTAGCCTTAGCAGGGCAGTACTGTACCATGTGTTTGGGGAGAAAGAATGGGCTTATTTTTGATATTGCTACAGATGACATGTTAACCTTTGCAAATGAATTTTAAAATGGTTCTAATGTTCAAAACCCCAGTTTCCTTCCAGCTTTCTAGTGGATCGAGTAGTTGAACTGTAGGCACTTTTCTCTATGTATTTTACCTGAAATTCACAGTTGTCTTTGTTTTGTGCTGGAGGGCCAAGATGACACACCTGGTGCTGAGATAACCTTGGTGTTCTCTTTGAAAACCCAAACAAACCCTCATTCATTGTGTGTTTAGCCACTTGCCTTGCTTAGACTTCTTTGCAAATACCCATTTTTGCCATGATGGTTGCTCATACCTGTTCCATCCAGCCGTTTTGATGGTACACACTTGCTCCAGCTTGGTTTTGCCATGTGTTGTTTTGTGGTAGAGTTGGATACTGGGACCAACCTGAAGGGATCCCCATTCAGATGAGTGGATTTCCTCAGTGTTACCTGAAATTGCTTGGAATGGTCTTGCATTGGTTTTTTTGTTTGTTTTTTGCTGTTGGGGTACAAAGAGTCTTTTGTAAATAACTGTGGAATTCTTTAAAATGGACTGTGGCAATGGAGTGTTCCTCATGGAACCCTTTGTGGAAAGAGGATGAGTGGTTGGAGGATGCAGATGGCAGGGGTGTGTGGAGGAGTTGAAGGGGACTATGTTGGTTCTACTGGTCGAAGCCAATGGTTTTGGACTGTTGGGATGCTGTGCCATGCATGTCCCTGTAGAACCCCAGACTAGCCCATTACCCCTTTCCCTTCCAGTGGTCCCCCCCACAGTGTCTGATGGCTCTGTATTGTTGTGAGGCTTTTGAATAACCAAGATGTCCTTGTGCTTCGAGGAATTGGTTTTGCTTGTGGAAGACGAATGGTGGTCAGAATCAAGCAGTCGGGGTTGCTTGGATCACCTCCATTCCCTCAGTGTTACATCCTCTCAATTCCAGGAGGTTGTGTTGGAGATGTCCATTGATTTCCAGTTCTGCAGCTTGGCTGTTGCGCAGCTTTAAAATTAATTTGTCATGTTAAAATCTGTTACAGACCATGAATGGGTTAAGAGAGTGCATTAAAAGTAACTGGTTTAATGGGCTTGGAGTGACTTGCCCTCAGTGCCTTGGTGTAGCAGATGGAAATGGTGTGCCTGTTGCATTTGAGTTGGTGTGGAAAACCACTAGGGAGGCGCTGTTGAGCTGGAGGGCAATGTCGACCCTACTGGCCTGGATTGGGAGTGGGTGATGCTCCTGTACCACACTGCCAGTGCCAGTGTTGGGGGCTGAAGGGAAGAGCTGTTGTCTGGGGATTGTGCCATTGAACTGGGGGGATGCTCCCCCTTGGGTGGGGTGACCCCCAGGGTGGGCTGTTTGGTGCCTGCATGGACGTTAGCTCCACTCCCATGCCTTCAAAATGGCTTGTAACAGCACCACTTCCTGTCCAGGGAGGAAGTAATTTTAGCCCAGGCACTAAAATATTTAGCAAATCTTTAAAACAAAAGGCACAAATTCCACTTCTTTCTGGTTTCCAAAGGGTGCCTGAGCCACATGGGGTTAAGATGCCCCCTGAGCTGGGGTAGTTGGAAAGAGCCAGGGCTGTGGGGTAGCAGGCACCCTTTAGGTGGAGGCTCTCTTTTTTTGGTAGAAATGAAGGGGTGGGTCTATGGTACATCACCTGAGTTGTGGGGTAAATGTAGAGAGTGTCAATCAAAGACAGAGCTCAGAGCTGGGAAGGAGCTCTAGATGGCGGCTGTGCCTTAGAGAGAGCGCGCTCAGCTCCGTGCCTTCCCCAACACTTTACGCAACTTTCCCTAACTTTCGGGCAGCCTCAGGGGGCCCCCACAGCCCCTTGCCTCTCCTAGGCACTAATCGGGGGCTAAGTGGACCTTTTTCGGGCAGAAAAGCAGCTTTTGAGGGCTCCCTTTTCGTGCCTTGCTGGAAAGAAGAAGCCGTGGAGAGAGCCCAGGTCGTTGTTTTTCCAGCTTAGAAGCCATGGCGTACCTCCATTTTTGTGCGCTCTCCTAATGAGCTTTTTCCCCCGGACGTTTTTGTACTAATTATTGCTTCTTTTGCTTTATCGGCAGCATATTTTTGGGATTAGTATATATATTTTTTTTTCATTTTCTGAAATTTGTATTTTATCGGTATAATTTTAAGTATTTTGGATCTAATGTTTTTCCATTACCCGAAACTAATATCGACTTGGTCCTGGCGGCGGTTCACGGATCAGGTAGGTGAGCAATTAATAATAATAATTTTTAGATTTCTGCCGTTTTGTGTACTTTGATTTTCGACCGATTTCTGCTGTATTGGGATGACGCAATAAGATACAGAGATTATTTGCATCCAGTGTTACTTTGGGAAAGTTTGCAGGATGCTCCTCTACTGTGTTTATTCTCGGATTTTTCTTGTAAAAATGATTATTTGTTTTAAATCTCGGTTTTGCCGTGTTGATCAGTGTTGTGTATTGTTATAACAATATCATTGCAGCGTCAGGACTTTGTTCCTGATAATGAAAGCCAGTGAAACGAACTGGGACCTTACCTTTCTTTCAACTTTTGACAGTAAATACCTGGGCACAGGACTTCAAAGCAAACAGACACCCCTGACCCCCTCTTAATATTTTAAGAATAAAAAGATGATGAGAAATAAGGACAAAAGCCAAGGAGAGGAGGGTTCAGTCCACAGCAATGCATCGAGGTATGACCTATCAACTTTCTTTTTTTTTTTTTTTTTGTAAAACCTGTGAATACCCTGTTTACTTTGACAGCCTTGGGTTACTGTCAGTGCTTAATAGAAAACATTTTACTGATTTTGCTTCCTTTTTAAGGAATGACCTTGAGATTGTTAGCATGCCACACCCTAATTTTTTTTGGTAGCAATTTCTGAAAGTTGTGTTGTGACTTAAGGGCCCATGTCCTAGGCAAAAGGTACTGTACCTTTATTCAGGGCAGCCCTTGCCTCTGCAGGATGTTTTTTCAGCTTTTGAATTTCAGTTTTTAGGTTTTTTGTGCTGTGAAAAATGACCTTGTCGGTTTAGCCATTGCTGCATTGCACCATTTTACATACAAGGCAAATTTTTCTTTGAAGAATCTCAGAAGTCTAAACTTTAACTGAGGGCCATACAGAAGCCTGGTGTAGTAGTAAATTATAGTAAATAGATACAAGAAAAAGTTACATGAATGAAAAAAAGCTCATTTTAAAATTTAAACTGTAAAGTGCCTGTTTGTCTGATACCCCTTACTTCAAATTTTATTTGAGCTTGTAGAACTTTGATACTGTTGAGGTATTTTAGAGTATTTTTATACAATTTAACCAGACTTTGTCCAGCTGGTGATGGCATTTTGCATCATAAAATATACACTGGGACTGTTAACAAGAGGTACAAAATGCTTTGCTTGTTTTGTTTAATGTGTTTTTGCTCAGTCTTTTTATTTACTTTTGTCGAGTAATGAGATTCTATACAGATTTTTATAAACTTAACCTTGATGTGGGAAAAGCATTGAAATACTGGAAATGTTTGTTTGCTGGGAATGCACAATTACCAGATCGCTCATTTTGTATTTAAAGGGTCAGCTCTTTCAAAAATTGGAAATTAAATTATATGCATTTTTGTTTTTAGTTTGTAAATATTCCTGAGTTTTGCATTTTGTCAATTTTAATTGAATTATGGCCTGTTTCTTTTTCTTTGGTGTTGTCTTCAGTCATTTTTAACCAACATTAATAAAAAAGAATTCTGAACTGTCTGTTGTATCACATGTGCTCTATGTGATGTTCAGGTGTTTGAATAGTATTCCTGATGTCTTGATTTAACCTTCCTTATGCACACAAACTTGAAATACTGTGGGAATACATATATTATCAAATTACTTTAACCTTTTAGTATAAACTTGGATGGTATTCTGGGTGTATTAAAATTGCAGTCAAATTTTAAGTCCTAAAATGGATATGGGTAAGTCTGTTTATTTTTAAATTATTATTATTATTATTATTAACTAAATTAGCCTCAGGGGTTGTTGAAGTATTACATGTAGCACCTATGCAGAGCTTTTCTAATAATGCAGTTTATAAATACATCAGATTTTCAAACTCTGCTTTCTTTACTGTAAATGCTGCACACAAAATACTGTGTGAACATTCACACTTTGAAGAAACGTATGATTTGGCTTACTAAAGTTTTTATGCATTTTTTTAAAGTGCAAATTATCAAAAGCAGTAACAGGCATAATTGTTCAGGAAATCGAGAGGTATTTTTTTTTGTGTTAGAAATATCATGCTGAATAGAAGCTGAAATGGGAGCCATGTAGCAGGAGTCCCACAGGAAGAAGACCTCTGGGGTTTTGTCCTTAGGGGTATGGGATTTGCATAGTGTCTTGAGTGCTTTAGGGGTTTTCATTGAAAGGTTATTTATCATAATTGATCCCATTTACATGTAACACCTGTTGTGTGAGGTTATCCTTCTCCGCTTTCACATCTTTTTTTCTCAAGATAAACTTGTGGGTAACACCAACTCACCTAAGTGTGGGAACAACTGAACACAGGATATTTGCAAGTGAACCCTGTCGAGCTTATTTCTGAGCTGTGAGTCAGCTGAATGTCATAAAATGGGCTTTACTTCCTGAGGTTGACCTGAAGTTGTAGGGGAAATGATTTCTAGGAAGTAAAGCCTCCACTTTGCTGTACTGTAACCCAGAAATGCACTGGTGTGTGCACTTCACGTGCTGCTGAGACAGATTGGCATCTGTGGAAGTTGGTGAAGTCCTGTCACCGAGTCCCTGGTGGGAGGCCTGGGTGGTGAGGAGGTGGATGTGGCAGGTGCCATTCACCTGGAGAAGCAAAACAGAAGGACTAGAGAAGGGTGTCAAAGTGGAAGAAAATAGAATTCTTGTACAGTACTGTAGTGTCCTAACTGAGGAACATGTCTGAAATGGACTCCTCACCTTTCCAGTCCTAAGGAAATGCAAAGGCCTGGCTGAACAAACAAATACCTGAGGATTGTCCCAAAGCAGATGATTGTTCTTGGGTGGGAGATGGTGTTAACTCTTTGCAGTTTGTAAGCTGAGGGGTATACTGGCTTCTTTTCCACATGAACAGCATCAACTGCCCTTTTTGCGCTGACGGTAAATCCAAGCTTGGAACTGAGATTTCACCCAGCTTTCCCCATGTGGGGTAGAAGTTGCTGTGGGTCTGCTGCAGTTCCTGCTGACCATCACTTCTGTGCCTGGGGCTTGCATTAATTAATTGAACCCAATCTGATGTATTTTCTAGCATCTTCTGTGCTGTGTTTCTGAGAGGCAGGTGGTGTGAAGGTACATCCATGGACAGCCCTCACTGGAATTGCAAAGCCAGAGGCAGGCAGAAATCTCCCTGAAGCTGTGTTTTGGAGTGGTTTTGGAGTGATAGCAAGTAACAGGCAGGGGATACATTGTTGTTTTCCTTTCCTTGGCCTGCATCTGTTGCAGTTGCTCTCCCACCTCTGCAATATTCTGCGTCGGGCTGGTTTCTGCTGCAGAAGCTGCAGGGCTTGACAAGCCTTTGTGTCTATATCCAGCTCTGAGCTGCTTTAGCATTAAAACGTCGTGTTCTTTGGAAAAAAAAAAAGGTCGTGGTGGGTTAGCTGTCAGCCCATTTTCTGAGCAGAGAGCTGGGGCTCTGAGGTCTGAAATGGCGTGTGTTTGCTCAGCAGCCGCCTCCCAGAGCAGGGCTGTGCAGCCTTCGCTCAGCACAACACCCTGCCTGACGTGGCAGCCATTTTATGGAGATGTCTGTACATGCGGAACAGGGTTTGGCGAGGGGGGGAGAGCAGGGAAATGAACATGTACAGCACAAACTGCAGTCCCTGGCTCGCGCTGGGAGCCAGTGGCACCCCTTTGTTGTTCGGGCAGCGCTCGGGGAGGGCTGCAGCGCTGTGGCGGCGGTGCGGGAGCAGCCGAGTCACAAAATGGCTGTTCTTTGTGCCGCACTGACGGACGCGCCGGAGCCGCGGGAGCCGTGCGGGGGTTCAAAGGCCGCCCTGGGCCGGCCGCGCCGCCATTGGCTGGGCCGGGCTGCGCGCGCAGCGCTCCCGCGGGATCGGGATCGCGATCGCTGCGCCGGGAGCGGGGCTGCTCCCCCCGCTTCCTCTCATCTGCCGGGCGTGGGCTTGCATTTAATTTTTTTTTTTCTTTTTTCTTTTTAATACTGCAGGCTATTTTGAGAAGTGTCTTGATAAAGAGCAAGTTTATTTTAGGTGCGGCTTTTTTTTTTTTTTTTTTTTTTTTTTTTTTTTTTTTTTTTTTTTTTTTTTTTTTAATTTCTAAAGGAGTTGCAGAACACCGTAGTATTCCTGGAACGTGTTGTCTTTTGTTTGTCTTGTTGGTATCCTTAAATTACTAAAACTCACGGTTAGCTTTCGACGTGTATTTTTTCAACGTATTTTCTTTGAGGTGAATGGAAGCATTAAATGCAATTATTAAAATGCCTCTAACTGTGGGTTTCAATTTTTTATCCTGCTGGTGGGTTATTTTATACTGCTGTGGCCATCGTGCGTGTCCCGAGGCTTTCGGTTTCATTTGCACTGCTGGATTCTTTAGCGAGGACTTTTTTTCCCCTCCCCCTTTTTAAGCTTTAACCCTTTATCAAACTGTCCGGAGCTTTTTTGAAAAGGGAAAACCCTTGATCAGTGCAGAACACAAAAGGAATAATGTGCAAGGAATTCATATGAATCGTGATGTAATCGGTGTGCAGCACAAAGGAGATTGTTCTTGTTTTGCTTTGTTACTTCTGTTTCACATTACCCTCATGGAGGAAATGTCTCATCTAATTATGCATGCACAATCCCGAGGCTTTCAACTCCTCTGTTCCCCGTTTTGCGATTGCTGCCAGGGATGGCTACAGTATATACAGTGCTATAAAAAGGGCTCGCCAACTGCAAGAAGGCTACATTTAGCTGGAATTCATTATCTTCTGGATCGTTCTTTTTTAAACATCTTAAGCTAATTAAACAAATTTTTATGTGTTTTCTAAATGCATGAGTGTTGCTGAATAAAAATGGAGAAAGAGGAATCAAGAGCTCACCTGGGTACTTCTGTAACCCTGCCAAAGTGTCTGTGTGGCACAGCGTGTGCTGGGCTGGGGCGTTGCGTTAGCTGAGAGCACGTGTGTGCAGGCGTGTTCCCACCGCTCCTGCCCAAATCCGCCGCTGCCGTCAGCCAGGGGACGGTAACTTGGATCGTAGATGAGAGTCTGTTACACTTTCTGTTCGGTTGGTGTTTCACCTGCTTCTGAGTGCAACACTTGCCCTTATCTGCACCTTCCCCCACTTCCTACACGAGCTGGAGCAGAGCTCTGCCCTGGCTCAGTGGTGGCATTTCCAAGAAGCTGATCCCACCAGCTGTGCCGTGGGAGCAGCGAATCTGGGCTACAGTAACCACACTCGTTTCTGCATTATTTAAAAAAAACCCACCAATTACAACCCCCACAAAAAACAAGCAAACAAACATTTCCCCTGTTAGCTTTGAGGGGGCTCGGAGGGAGGGGCAGGAAGGCAGCAATTTTTAGTCTCTCCAACTCATTATAGGGATAAACCAGTCCCTATATTTTTCATGTTTCACCCCTCAGAAAACTGTTCATATGATTAGCAGGTCCCTGAGTTGCTAAACCTGTCTTTGAGGAATTTTTATACTGGCACTTCTTGTAATTCAGACCTATTAGTGCTAGTT